CGAGAACTTGACAAATGTTTTGTCATAATTGTCATTTCTTTCTGGTGAACTGCGTAAAAATCAGTCAGAACGCACCAACGTACAAAATACAAACGTGTGACAGGGACCGGTCCGTGGATCAGTCGGGACTGTGCTGCACAAACTTTTCTTAAAAAAATAAATAAATCTTGATAATATCATAAATTACAAATTTAAATCGACTTCTTTTGTTCGTATTTCTTTCCTGCGCTCGCCTCGGCCTCACTTTGTGGGCTGTTCGCTCAGCATTTCTTCAGCATGCTTTTAGCTGCTTCAGCCTTTCAGGTTTGAAAACATTCAGCTTGTTGAAGGCATTACGGCTGCAACTTTTGGTATTTGTAGTTTTTATACTTTATTCACATGAAGATCTTTCTGAATTAATTAAATCTATTTCTGTATACTTGTTTAGCTTTTAGCTTTCAGCTTCTGTTTGGCTTATGTTAGTTTTTAGCTAATCGGCTGGTTCTAAGTTGCTGCTGCTCGGATAATTTTATTTTTCAGCTTTTGTTCTTGCTAATTTAGGATTGTCTCCACTGTTGCAGATTTTAGCTTTTAGCTATGGTTTAGCTAGTTTTAGTTTCTGTTCTGATCATTTTAGCTTTTAACAACTCAGTTTCAGCTTCTTCAGTTTTTCGGACCTCAACATTCAAACTGTGTATTTAATGAAAAAGCTTTTTTTTTAAAGTTTACTTGAACAAGAAAGCCCACAAGCTGACCCGAGTACAGATGAGTGAGAAACAAACTTCTCTGTTCCCTCCGCTCCGCAGGAACATCGTCTCGTGTGAAATCGGTCCGTGATGCATCAACGGTCGTGGGCAGCTGCGTTCGAGCGTCCGACGCTGCCAAATCTAAACTTGTTGTGGATTTTGTTGTTTCAGGTGGAGCCCAACACCAAACTGTTCCCTGCGGTCTTCATTCAGCCCACCAACCAGAACATGGCCCAGCTGGAGCTGGGAAAACTCAAGGTCAGAGCAAATATCAAATCCTTTTTCCTAAGCAGGTTGGAGCCTCGACCCTTTAAAACTGATGCTGAAGGTCACAAAGGTCAACCACAGGAACAGGTGCCGTCTGTCCTCGAGGAGACTTCCTGTCCGATGCGAGTCGTGCAAACATGAGCACAGGAAGTGACGATGAGGAGGCAGACGTGCAGAAGAAGAAGCAGCAGCTGCTGCTGGCGCAGACTGGAGGATCTTGGCAGTCGTTGCCCCCACGCCCCCCCCCCCTGGTGGCGCCTCTGCATCTGAGGGTGTTTCCTAACTCTGCCCCCCTCTTTGAGTTTTGTTTACAATGAATAAGTAGGTTAGAAACAGCAACGCAATTGTGTGCCTGGATTCTTACAACTTGTAATTTTTATGTGCCAAAAAAAAAAAATTGTAATAGAACGTCCACCAGTAACCGTCCACCAGTAACCGTCCACCAGTAACCGTCCACCAGTAACCGTCCACCAGTAACCGTCCACCAGTAACTGTCCACCGGTAACCGTCCACCAGTAACCGTCCACCAGTAACCATCCACCAGTGTAACCACAAAGTTAAATGTTTTTCTTTGTTTTTATTCCTCCTTTCCTGTCCTTAAATTGTGTTTTTAATTTCTGTGACTAACCTTCCCCTCTGCTGTCCTGTTCTCGTCAGAACATCATGCCAATCTCAGCAGCCATGTTCCGCAGCGAACGGAAGAATCCCGTCCCCCAGTGCCCCCCCAGGCTGGACGTCCAGATGCTGACCCCGGTCATCTGGAGCCGCATGCCCAACAATTTTCTGAAACCGGAGATGGGCAAAATGAGCGAGAGGCTGGGCTGGATGGTGGAGTGCGTTGAACCTCTCATCATGATGGCTCTGCACATCCCCGAGGAGAACAGGTCAGACCCGAGTCCGGTTCTGGTCCTTACTGGTTGTAGGGTTAGAACCATGAAGGGCCATGCAGGCAAACGGCTCAGGTTAAACTCCTCAAGTGGGCGTCGGTTTTAATTTTTTGAACAAATTTTAAAATAGTTTGAGCCTTAAAAAATATAAAAGCAAACTCAGCATGTGTGCGGCTCAGTCTATTTCCTGGATTTCGTCATGCACATGTGCTTCAGCGTGACGCAGTTCTGACAACTCAAAAACAAAGTAATCATATTTTAAATTACAGAGCAAACGTGCACATTGAACTCAGAATGACAGCGTAGCATCTTAAATGTAAAACAAACTCATTTCGACTTCAAACATTGACGGGTTTGAAAATTGTCGGTATGTTTTTGAGAAAATACAAAAGCGGTGAGGTCATCACAGTGGCTGTGACGCGGTGGCGGCCATCTTGAATCAAGTTATGCAGCTGAAGTCGAACATCGAATGATTTCCTGCTGAGTTTCCTTAAAACTTGTTCAGTGTTTAACTTGATATTTTGCTAACAGACAGCCAAACAAACCAAACTGTAGCGTGATTCGTCCTGTGCAGCACAGCGATATCTGCCGCAGACGCTACTTTCTACGAGACAATTCAATAATTAACATCCATTAAATCGGCTTTATAGGTTACTTTTAAACGGTTAAATTATTATCTTCAATTCTGGTCGGAGCACATTCACTTCGAGGTAAATAAGATCAAATCTAACGACTTGTGGAAGGAGCCATGTTGATGTTTCTCGTCTGTTGCTAACATACGTAGCACACAGCTATCTGGCATTGGTACATTATGTACATTCTAATATTGTATTATAGTTCTATTACATGCATTTTATTATTATTTTAGACGTTTTTTACACAGTCGGCTCTTATCGGGGCTATTTAGTGAATATCTACCAAAACACCAAGTGCAGACGTTTGCCTGTTTTGGTAATGGCCGCCGTCCTGCAGCGAATCACAAGGTCAGGTGACCAGTGCGCCCTCTGGTGGTTGATATAACTCCATGGTTAGGTTACGTTTGATCGCTCGCTTCACGATCAGTTTTAAAGACCCATTCCTGTATAGTGGACGATGTTCAAACGGGCGATTTATGGAGAAACATGTGTTTTCTCGCAGCGTCGCACCAACAGTCAAAACACAAGCCGAAGTTTTAACGAACTGTTCCTCATCCGGTGTTGGTCCTGCAGGTGCATCGACATCCTGGAGCTGTCGGAGCGCCTGGATCTCATGAAGTTCCACTACCACACGCTCATGCTGTACTGCGCCGTGTGCGCGCTCGGGAACAACAGAGTGGCTCACGCGCTGTGCAGCCACGTGGACGAGTCGCAGCTCTTCTACTCCACCGAGAACACTTACCTTCCCGGACCCCTGCGCAGCGGGTACTACGACCTGCTCATCAGCATCCACCTGGAGTCGGCCAAACGGGCCCGCCTGGGCACCAACAAGGAGTTCATCGTCCCCATGACCGAGGAGACGCTCAGCATCAAGCTCTACCCGGACACCAAGAAGGCCCACTCTCTGCCCGGCGTCGGCCTCACCACCTGCTTACGACCAAAGCTGCATTTCTCTTCCATCAACTTTGTCGGAACAGACCCGGATATTTACACACTCAGTCCAGTTTTACCTCTGCAGGTAAAATAAATGATAAGAACGCACCAAAGGAGCAAATCTAACGGCTCATTTTGCTCATTGTTTACTTTTTTATCTTCAGGATCTCAAAACCAGAGCTATTAGCATGCTAACTGAGGCCGTGCTGGATGGGAGCCAAGCCATGCGTGATCCAGTAGGTGGCAGCGTTGAGTTCCACTTCGTCCCCATCCTCAAACTCATCAGCACCCTGCTCATCATGGGCATCTTCAACGACGAAGACACCAAACACATCCTCAAGATGATCGATCCCAACGTTTTCAGCGGGAAGGAAGAGGAGGAGGAGGAAGGAGGAGAAAATGCTGAGGAGGGAGGAGAGTGCGAGGAAGAGACGGAGGACGCCGAACTCGAGGATGAGGGAGTCGGTGATGAGGAGGAAGAGGAGCTGAAGGATCAGGAGGAGGGGGAGGAGTCTAAAGAGGAAGGTGGGAAGAAGGAAGAAGGAGGTAAGGTAGACGGAGAGAAAGCAGAGGAGGAGAAGGAGGCAGTGGAAGCAGAAGCCAAAGATGAGGAGGAGGGTCTGGAGGAAGGACTACTTCAGATGAAGCTGCCGGAGTCCGTCAAACTGCAGGTTTTTTATCAAACACGTTGATTTATGTTTTCACGTTGTCTCAGGCGACTCAAAGCTCTCGTCCGTTCTTTCAGATGTGCACCCTTCTGCAGTACTTCTGCGACTGCGAGCTCCGGCACCGGGTGGAGACCATCGTGGCCTACTCCAATAACTTCATGCAGGGCGTTCAGAAGAACCAGCGCGTGCGTTACAACCAGCTGATGAGGGCCTTCACCATGTCGGCCGCCGAGACGGCTCGCAGGACCCGCGAGTTCCGCTCACCACCGCAAGACCAGGTACCAACCGCAGCGGATGCTGGCTCGTTTGGACCAGAACCGTACGGTGGTTTCATGAACGTTTTAAACGTGGACTGCCATTGACCTGACGGTGTTAGCTCCTACTGTTAGAGAGCT